GTTCCTCAAACCATTAAACATTGAGTTACCGTATGATGCACCCATTCCACCCCTAGGCATATGCCCAAGAGAAAGGAAAACATACATTCCTCCAAAACTCTTACATAGCACTTTATTCCCAATAACCAAAATGTGGAAACAACGCAAATGTCCATCAACCTATGAATAGACAGACAAATGCTGTATATCCAGACAGTGGAATATTATCTGATCATAAAAAGGAATGGGAGGGGCGCCTGGGTGGCTCAGTCAGTTAAGCGTCTGCTTTTGGCTCAGGTCATGATCCCAGAGTCCTGGGATTGAGCCCCGCATTGGGCTTCCCTCTCAGTAGGGAATCTGCTTCTCTCTCCCTCTCTCCCCCCCTCTTGCCCCCCCCCCCACTGCTCATTCTCTCTCTCTCTCAAATAAATAAATAAAATCTCTTAAAAAATGGGGCTCCTGGGTGGCTCAGTTGTTAAGCGTCTGCCTTCGGCTCAGGTCATGATCTCAGGGTCCTGGGATCGAGCCCCGCATCGGGCTCCCTGCTCGGCGGGAAACCTGCTTCTCCTTCTCCCCCTCCCCCTGCTTGTGTTCCCTCTCTCGCGGTGTCTCTGTCAAATAAATTTAAAAAAAAAAATCCTTAAAAAAATATTTTAAATAAAAAATGAAAATAAAGCTGTTCATATATTTTAAACATAGCCTTTCAGCAAGTCTGGGGCAGATCCTATTGCTCTGTTACCAATGACCAGAGACTCATGGGGAAGTTTGAACATGGACGGGGTATTCGATGTTAGGGAATTATGATTCTGTCAGGTATTGCCAATGGCGTGAGAGGGAATGCTCATCTTCGAAGAGAGGCAGCTAGAAACATTCAGGGAGAGAGTGATGACATCTGTAATTAAGTTGTAAATGTTCCAGAAGAAAACTAGTAGATGATAGATAAATGGAGACAAACGGATGACAAATATGACCAAAAAAATGATGACTCTGTGGTGGATATGTGACTGATTTTCTTTCTGTTTGTATGTTACACTTTTTCAAAATAAAAAGATACTTTCCCCTCTATGTAAACATTAACATCAGGCAAATGTGTGCCTGTATCCTATTTAGAGAGGAAAACAGATTGGATGGAAATTCCCAATTTAAGTAAACTCTGGGGAGGGCGCCTGGGTGGCTCAGTCCGTTGAGCATCGGACACTTGATCTCAACTCAGGTCTTGATCTCAGGGTCGTGAGTTCAAGCCCCACATCGGGCTCCATGCGGGGCCAAGGGAACAAACTCTGGGGATATCAGGTGCTAAACTCCCACCTCATGAAATGTAAGCTCTCCAAGAGCCAGAGTATCTGAGGCCCTGACTGCTGAGATCCGCCCCCAGCCTGGCGCTGGCCCCTTCCCCAGGCGGTTGCCCCCGCCGATCCGAGGGCAGCCAGCAGCCAGGGTGGGCGTGGCACGGGGCGCTGGAGCCCAAAGAGAGGCTGGCTCCAGACTGCACTGCGTGCTCCAGAGACCCACGGTCAGGTGCAGCCTCTCTCCATCAGCCCTCACCCCTGCAATGATGCCCCGAGCTGTCGGTGCGGGCGTGCAGGTGGCCCACTGTGCAAGGATCTGCCCGCCCACTAGAGCTGTTGTGTTTTACGACAGAATGTCTTCTAAAGCTGGTGTGATTTCGCTCGTTGAGGGTGAAGTGAAAACGTCTGTGCATTCGAACACTGTTGGAGTTGGGGCCACTGGGGCTGGCGTCCCTCCAGGTCTCTAGGAAGTCCTGTGCCTTAGCTCACGCCGCTTCTCATATCCTGGGGACAAAGGCCAGCTACAAGGCGACCCGAGGCCCCCCCGAAGAGTCTGGGCAGTCAGGCTACCTCCTGCTGTGGATGCCAACTCAGGAGGGAGGAAAATTGGAAACCTGGGTTTGGAAGATGGAGCCAGATAAGGGAAGAGACTGGAAGATTTGAAAAGATGGCAAAGATTGACGCCACATGCAAGGTGACAGCTCAGCTACCGACCGGCAGCTCACCTCAGTAAAACTTGCACTGACAAAGCAAAGAGGTGAGGAAGGCTTTCATTCGAGGCCAGTGCAACAGGGGAGGACGATTGAACTTGGCCCTCCTGAAACACAGCTGGAGCGACTAAATTGGAGCGAGGGAATTACAGGCCATCTTTGTTGGCTAATTAGCCTTCCTTGAAAGAACAGTGAAAGTTCTCATAAAACCCTGACAGAAGGTAGTTTTACATCTCCGTTTGAAAGGTGACCCACGGAACTTAGGTCCCTCAGAGCCCGGGAGGTGCGGGCACTGTCTGCCGGAGGATTCATTTCAGAGGGATGGACCTCTGAAGCCAGTCCCTGGGTCCTAAGACTGACATGAGGCTTTGTAAAATTTATTTAAAGATTTTATTTATTTATTTATTTATTTATTTGAGAGAGAGAGAGAGAGCATGAGGTGGGGGGGAGGGGCTAAAGGAGAGGGAGAAACAGACTCCCTGCTGAGCAGGGGGCTCAACTGGGGGCTCGATCCGCATGAGCCTGGGATCATTACCTGAGCAGACGCTTAACGACTGAGCCACCCGGGCGCCCCTTGAACCTGCTTTCTGCTCAGCGGGTGGGACACTCAGCTACATCCCTCGGACCTGGTCTGCATCTCCATCAGCAACCTTCGGTTATGAAGAGGGGCAAAACAGGTAAGAGACAGTGAATGGCCTGAATGTCATCACTCAGAAAGCTGTGCTTGCTGGCATTTTCCATGGAGACACATTTCTCTCTATCGTTACTTCCCCTTGATCAAACATTATCCCCAAGGAAGACTATTCTTTTTTTTTTCTTTTAAAGATTTGTCTATTTATTTGAGAGAGAGAGAGCAAAGGGGGGGGGGTGTTGTGCACAGGGAGAGGGAGAGAGAGAACTTCAAGCAGACTCCCCACTGAGCTCCCAACAGGGGCTCAATCTCACAACCCTGAGATCATGACCTGAGCCGAAATCAAGAGTCGGATGCTTAACCGACTGAGCCCCCAAGAAGCCCCCCAAGGAAGACTATTCTTGATCCTAAAACATGGCTGGTCTCACTGGATTTGTCCTGATTATTTACACAGGTGCAGAAGGGTCGCATATCCACCGCAAAGATTGCTCTGATGCAGGTTTTCTTAAGGAATCTCAGATTGGACGTCTAACAGCCTCTTCCCTTTAAAAAAGCCTCCCCCCTCAGACTTCTTCTGCAACTCTACAGCTTTACGTGACATCCTCTCTCCTCCAGGTCCCCAAAATATCCATCAAGTTGACCTTAGCTCCTTAAAGGGTGGGGTCATATCTGATCCAGTGGGCATCAGTCTCAACTAGGACATTGGAATCAGAGCCTTGATTGTCTCACCGATGTTTCCAAGTATATTCCATTAACAAAGAGGAGAGTCTTACTGAACCCGCCATGCTGTCCTTGCAGAGTGAGCGTTCCCTCCCTAGTGCCCCCCCAGCCCCCCTCAGTGTCCTGCCTCCCATCTCTTCCCTCCCAAGAGCAACCCAGACCCCGTAGCAACCTCCTCAGCCCTCATGACGCCCACAGCCTGGACACAGCTGCCGAGAGACCCCGGACTGCCCCCAGCTTCTTTCTGGAGTGCCTCACAAGGGAGAGGAACTCTTCATCTGCACGCTCTTGGGGTGTCTTTCTCCTTCCCTGGGTGCTGGGGTCTGACTTCCAACCCTCCCCCACCCCCACAGCGGATCTCCCAGGAGCTGCCGACCTGGCTAAGGTTGGCAAAGGAGGACCAGTTTGGGGATGGACCTGAACCCCTTAAATCCCCTGCACCCCTCCCCTAGTCTTGGAGGACTCCACTGGACAAAAAGCAGCAGGTTGTTTTCAAGGAGGAAATTCCCACAGCTAGGGACTCAGCACCCACCTCTTCCACCAACATCTCATTTCTCTGGGAACATCCTCACTCCCAACTAGAACGTGGTTTTTTTGTGGGTTTTTTTGGTTGGTTGGTTGGTTGGTTGGATTTTTAATGGACCTTGAGAGCTTGTTTGGAGGTTCTAGCAGGGGAGTGCAGCTACTCATATACCCTTGACTGAAGAATGGCCCTCCTCTATCAGGGAAGGTCGTCCTCTTGGACTGAGTGTGAAGCTTTGGGAAGGACGCACACGGAGCGGTGAGGGAGGAAGGGGACACCCCCCTAGCGAGCCAGATTGGCCGAATCAACCCTGGCGATCAATGGGGTGACAAATGTCACAGCCGGATCGCCCCCACATCCTTTTTTTTTTTTTACCTAGAAAGTGTTTTGATGAAGAATTGCAAAAATGTAAGCATGTGTTTGTCTTCACTGGGAGTAATGATTCTACGAATGTCCAAATGTCTCCCTGGAAGAGCTGTCTCTCCCCAGGCTGGAGCCCTCCACCCGCTGACTTGGCCTCTTTTCTGCAAACCTAGACCTCCGGGAATAGTTACACAGTGCAGTGGGCTTCTCCTTGGCCGGCCACCATCCACAGATATGACACATTTGCAACACATCTGGGAACATCTAGAAACCCCCACCGCTCCTCTGCTCACACCCACATTCCATTTTCAAACGTCTCAAATAGTGCTGTGCAATAGAAGTACAACGGGAGAATCGTATGTAATTTAAAATTTTCTAGCAGTCATATTTAAAAACGGAAAAAGGGGCGCCTGGCTAGCTCAGTTGGTTAAGCATCAGACTCTTGATTTTGGCTCAGGTCATGGTCTCAGGGTCCTGGGATTGAGCCCCACGTGAGGCTCCCTGCTCAGCACGGAGTCTGCTTCTCCGTCTCCCTCTGCCCCTCCCCCTGCTCTCTCTCCCTCCCCCCCTTAAATAAAAAGGGGAACTGGGGAGTTGTTTAATGGGTCCAGTTTCGGGGTTATAAGATGAAGAGTTCTGGAAACGGATGGTGATGATGGTTGTACAACAGTGTGGATGGATTTAATACCACTGAGCTGTACACTTAAAAATGGAGAAAATGGTAAATTTTATTATATATATTTTACCACATTAAAAAATTTTCAAATACCCAGGTGAAATTCACTTTAGTAATATTTTTATTTATCCCATTATGTGGAAAATATTAGCATTCCAACAAATTTTTTAGATTATTGAACTGTTTTACATTCTTTTTATCATACTAAGCCTTTGAAATGCGATCTGTGGTTACGCGCCCTGCACACCGCAGTTCAGACCAGCCACGTTTCAGTGGCCACTTGCAGGCCCTGGCCACGGTACTGGACGGCCTTCATCATCAGCAAGCATCTCCCATCCTATCTGCAAAAACCCACGTGTCCCCTGCAACAGTCTTGCATGCAGTTCATCGGCAAATAAACCTGCAAACCTCCCACATGGGCAGCAAAACCCACAGGCCAGCCCCTCAGTCTGGGTGCAGACAGACATCTTCAGAGAATGCATTTGCCCAGGTTGATTCCCAACCTTGGCAGGTTGATCTGACTGCAAAAGCCCCCTCCTTTGCATAAATTTGCATCTCATTCATGTGTCAATCAGAAGCATCTAGCAGGGCCTCAGATGGTCATCTCGAAGTCAGGGAGGTGGTGGTGTGGGGCTGAGCAGGAGGCCCCCGGGTGTCCCTCCTCCTGCTTCCCCTCAGGCTCTTCCTCCTCCTCTTCCTCCTCCTCTTCCTCGATGAGGCTCTCCTCCTCTTCCAGGAAGGTGACCAGTTCCTCCCGCAGTGCCCCCATCTCCAGTCCCAGACCGCACAGCTGGCCCAGCAGCTGGACGTCCACTTGGCGGAGGTGCCCCTGCCAGTGGGAAGGTGGAGTCGTGGGCATCCCACCCCGGAGGGCGGGGGGAGGGGGGCGGGGATATCAGCGTGCCCCTGACCTCAAACCTGTTCGAGTCCTGGCCAAGATTCTTTGCTTGACCAAACTTCAGCTAAGCTCCTAAACCTTCTCCCAGGCCCATCTGTGCACTTCCTTGTAAAATCCTGTTTTACCAAGAATCTTCCATCCTCCACGTCTGATCACTCCCAATATCTCATCTGTTTACTCATCCCCCATCCACGCCCAGGCCCCACCTCATCTCCCCCACCTGCCTCCAGCATGAATCCTGTTGGTCCATTCAGCCAGATGCCCTGCCGAGTGATTTCCCATCTTCTGACCCCCACCCTCTCCTTTGCTAGAAATCCCCACTTGCCCCTGCTGTGCTCAGAGCTGAGCCCATCTCTCCGCAGCCCCCCTTGCCCCCCCACTACAGTGGCCCCTACACCTACTACTTCACCGTCTTTTTTTTTTTTTTAAGATTTTATTTATTTATTTGACAGAGAGAGAGAGACAGCGAGAGAGGGAACACAAGCAGGGGGAGTGGGAGAGGGAGAAGCAGACTCCCCGCGAAGCAGGAAGCCCAATGCAGGGCTCGATCCCAGGACCCTGGGATCATGACCTGAGCCGAAGGCAGACGCTTAACGACTGAGTCACCCAGGCGCCCCACTTCACCGTCTTTAATAGATGCCATAAGTAAGCTTCTCTTTAACAATCCGGGCCCGCGGCACACGACAGGGTCCTCACTTTGTCCCAGACCTTGACTGTCAGCTGGCTTCTCCCAGGGGCTCTTGATCTCTGCCTCTGTCTCTCCCTGGCTTTGTCTCTCCATTTTGTCCCTCACTATCTCTGTGTCTCTGTGCCTTCCTTACGATGTCTCTCTGCTCTCTGCCCCACCTTGCCTGTCTCTGCCTCTGTCTCTGTCTTTCCATAACCCTTTCTGTCTCTATTTCTCTGCCCCTGCCTTTGACCGTCTCTATCTCTCCGTCTCAGATTTAATCTGAGTCTCTGTCTCTGTTGTCGCTCTCAGTCTCTGCTTTCTATCTGTCTCTCCCTCTGTTCGTCTCTGTCCCTGTCTCTCTCTACTCCCTTGTCTCACTCTTTGGATTTATCTGTCTCTCTGCTTGTTTCTCTTTTATTGTCTCTCAATTTCTGTCCTTCAATCTCTGGTCCTTTGCAATTCCATTCGTTTCCATACACGCACCTGTTCTCTCTCCCCACCCCCACCTGCGCCCCATCTCTTGCCCCTCCGAACCCCTCACTCACCAGCTCCTCCCAGATCCACAGCAGACTCTCCCTGGCACCTGCAGCCTCTGCCCCTGGGGACAGGAGGGTCTGGCCAGCTCTCCCCACTGGGGGGACCTCCCTCAGGGCCCGGGGAGGGGGGCCCAGCCCCGGAGGCACCAGTCCCGCCTGCCTCAGTTGCCTCCAAAGCTCCATAGTCCCTGAGCAGTGGTGCCAGGAGCAGAAAGTGACAAGGTCCAGAATGACCCAGTCCTCTGAGGAGCCGGCGAGGCAAGGGGGGAGCAAAGGGCGTGAGGGGGTGCCTGGGTCAGCATTTCAAAGTCCGCTCTCAGGTGAGAACTGACGGCCTCGCGAGGATTTTCTTCCTTCTAAAGTCTAACTTCAACTCTGCTCACAAGGGTCCAGCCACGGCCTCTCTGGCAGAGACAAAACCCCCACCCCTCTTGACCCCTTCTCAGGCCGAACCCCTCGTGGGGGCTGGGTGTCTGGGGATGGCTGGCCTCACCTGTCCCGCCCTGGGTCTCTCCTGGGCCCCTCCCCACCCCCTCCTCCTCAGCTTCCATCCTTCCTTCCTCTCTACTCTCTGGCTTGCTCCAGCTTGGACCTTGTCTTCTGCACTTGGGCCACCCCAGGGCTTCCCAATTAGTGTGTCTGAGGAGCCCCGATCCCTCAGCTGTGGTACCTCAGTGTCCAGGCTACTGGCTAACTGAGCAGCCAGCTCTGCTGACCCCTGACCTGCCCATGGATACCATCACTGTCAGCAAGGGCCCTGCCTCGGCGAAGACTGGGACGCGGGCCTCCCTCCGCTTCCAGAAGCCGCCACCACTGCAGTCCTTGGCTCGCTGCCCCTTCCCTGTATCACTCTTGCACCTACCATCACATCTCCTACTGACTGACCCCCTGCCTCGATCTAACAGGACCCTTGTCATTGAATTTGGCCCATCCTGATCGCCCAGGATAATCTCCCCATCTCCAGATTTTTTTTAAATCTTTTTTTTTTTTTTTAGATTTTATTTTTATTTTTCGACAGAGAGAGAGAGAGAATGCAAGCAGGGGGAGTGGGAGAGAGAGAAGCAGGCTTCCCGCTAAGCAGGGAGCCCGATGCGGGGCTCGATCCCAGGACCCTGGGACCATGACCTGAGCCGGAGGCAGACGCTTAACGACGGAGCCACCCAGGCGCCCCCCATCTCCAGATTCTTAACTTGATCACATCTTCCATTTACCATATGAAGTAACAGATTCACAAGTTCCAAGGATCAGGGCATGAGTTTTTTTTGGGGGGGGGTCCATTATTCAGCCCACCACACCTGCCTTTCAAACCTGTCACTTTCCCAGTCTCCCCGTCTCCCTAAGTGGTATCCCTATCCCTTTAGTTTCTGGAGCTATTGGCTCAACCTTCAAAATAAACTCATAATCTGAGCACTTCTCACCAGTTCCTATTGCCCCACCCCTGCTCCTGTCTCCACTCCTCTCTTGCCTGGACTCCTGCAGTAGCCTCTTTGCTGGCTCCCACTTCCACCCTTGCTGCCTAAAGTCTGTTCTCCACCTGGCACAAATGATATATTTTTAAAAGACTTTATTTATTTATTTGACAGAGAGAACAAACACAAGCAGGGGGAGGGGCAGAGGAAGAGGGAGAAACAGGCTCCCAACTGAGCAGAGAGCCTGACACTGGGCTCGATCCCAGCACACTGGGATCATAACCTGAGCCGAAGGCAGACACTTTACTGACTGAGCCACCCAGGCGCCCCGAAATGATCTTTGAAAAACATAAATCGGAGCACCTGGGTGGCTTAGTCGGTTAATCGTCTGACTTTTGATTTCAGCTCAGGTAATGATCTCCCAGTCATGGGATCGAGCCCCGAGTAGTTGGGCTCTGTACTCAGCACAGTCTGCTTGTCCCTCTCCCTTTGCTCCTCCCCCCACTTGCTCTCTCTATATCTCTAAAATAAATAAATAAAATCAAAAAAATAAATTAAAAAAAGGCATAAATCAGATCATGATATGCCCCTGAGAATGGAATTCGGCACAGTCAGCTTCCTGCCCACCTCTCTGACCTCATCTCCTACTTCTCTGTGCCAGCTGGTTCCCACCCCTGGGCCTTTGCACTCGCTGTTAGTCTGCCTGGAATACCTTTCTCCCAGATCTTTGAACGACTGTTTCCTTCTCATCCTTCACCTCCGCTTAAATATCATCTCTTCAGAAAGGCTTTTGCCGATTCCCTTACCCTCTAGTCACTGCCAATTATACTGCCTGTTCTTATGTGCCTCTTATCAAACATTATCTGAAATTATCTTGCTTATTCATTTGTTTCTTGTCCATCCTCTCCCCACCTGGAATGCTGACTCCCTGAAATAAGGTCTGTCTTGTTCACCATGGTAACCTGAGCACCCAAAACAGTGTAGGCCACGTGGCAGGTGTTCAGTAAACCTCTGCGAATAAATGAATGATTCTACCCACAAGACTTCACATTAAATCTTCACACTGAGAGAGAGCGCTGGACTCCAAACTAAAGTCGCGATCACAGTACTTTGAGATCTCACCTCTCCTACCCTAAAGTCTAACCTCACCACCCACTAGACCTTTTCCTTTCCTGACCCAGGCGTAAAGAATGACTGGGTCAGTTGCCTAGCCATTAAGGAGGTAGCGAATGAAAGCTGGAGGAAGAGGCAAGCTCAGGGGGACTGTGAGTACAGTCGGAGGGAGGGTACTCTAACAGGAAGGACTGAACGGTCTCCCAGGGAAAGGCTGCAGAGACTCACTGTTAAAGACCATGGAAATGGCTTTCGAAGCAATCGCTCAACTAGAGTAAAAAGTGCGGTGCCTTTAAAAGGAGAGCTGGAGCATGAAGGGGGCGTGGCCACAGGAAAAGACGTCTCGGTCTGAACCTCGAGGGTGGACAGAGAAAAACCGGCCCCTTCCGTTTACGTAATCCTAGCAAGATGGCGGCGCCCAGGGCGGTAAGTGACCGGAGCTCCTAGAGCCCCAAAATTGAAGTCCGCTCTGCTGCCCCCGCCTTCAGGGTTTCTGTCAACACCCAGGCAGCAAGGGGCAAGAGAGAGCAGGAGGCCTCTCCCGCTAAGGCTTATGCTGGGAGCGCTGACATGCGACCTTCGAGAGCCGAGAAGGATCGGTGCGAGTCGCAGACAGCCGGGGCGCTTTAGAGAGGAAGCGGGGCGGGGACTTGCTGGAGAGAAACCAATGGGGAAGCAGGGAGCGCGTTCCGAAGATGGCGCACCCAGCCAATCAGAGGAAGGGACCCGATTGTGGGCGCTGGGAGTCGGGCGGGCGCGAGTGGGACCTTCCAGGGAAGAGGGTTTGGGTGAGTTCGGTGGAGAAGCTGGGGTTTGAGATCCAAGGGTAGGAGATCAAAGGGTACAGGTGAGGGAAGCTCATGGGAGAGTTATGCATTTTTATGGAAAGCCAAAGGGACGATGGAGGTCGGGGACAGGAACCAAAACGTGAACATGGAAGTTCCAAGGGAAAGACCTAAGGGAATTTTTTTTTTTTTAAAGATGTATTTATTTGAGAGAGCGAGAATGAGAGAGAGAGAGAGTACATGAGAGGGGGGAGGGTCAGAGGGAGAAGCAGGCTCCTCGCTGAGCAGGGAGCCCGATGCGGGACTCGATCCCAGGACTCTGGGATCATGACCTGAGCCGAAGGCAGTCGCTTAACCAACTGAGCCACCCAGGCGCCCGACCTAAGGGAAATTAAGGGGAGAATTTGCGATATTCGAGGAGAGAATTTAGGAAGAAAGAGCTAAAGTCAAGGAATGGGTTTAGGGAAGACTAAGGTGAGTGGTTGGGGACCTAGGAATTTTTGAGGGAAAATAAGGATTTGGGCAAATTACCGAGAAAATTTGGTTGAAGCAGAAAAAGAAATTGGAGCAGGCCAAGAGAACACTGAAGGGAAATTGAAGGAAGAGTTTGGGGGCTTTAACAGGTAAATTAAGGGTGGTTTGGAGTGAAATTAAGATATTTTGGGGTTAAGAAATGGGTTATTCAGGAAGACTCCAGGGAAAATTGGATAAAATTAAGGGGGTATTTTGTGGGAAATTGAGAGGTCAGATAATAGAGGTCTTCAAAGAAAAATACGGGTTTAGGAAAAGATCAGGGGGAAAATGGTAAGACCAAGAATGTTTGGCCAAATCAGAGAGAATTTAGGTTGATTAAGGGGAAGAACTTGGGAGAAACATGAGGAAATTTGGGGGATCTCAAAAGCAGAATTTGGAAGTTCTGAAAGGAGAATTTTGTGAACCAGGAAGAAGCAGTGGGGGGGGGGGTGCAGCAGGAGGAGGACCAAGAACAGGGGGATCCAACTCTGACTCTCACAGGAGGCTCCAGGCTCAGCCTCTCCTTTCCTGTCCTCCCCAGCCCCTGCACCTGGTGATGCCAGTATGGAACCGGGGTACCAGGGGCATCCGTGGCCTGAGCAGGGCAGTAGCCCTGGAGGGCAGTCAGAAGAAGGGGAGGTCCCTGCTCCAGTTCCTGGCTGACCGCTTCTATGACGTGCAGGCTCTCAGGGAGTACCTACTCCAAAAGCAGGTGTTGAAGGTGCACCAGAAAAATCGGTGAGCACTCTTGGCGGGCACGACCCTGCTGCGGGGGCCTTACCAGGCAGAACTCAGATCCTGCCCCTGCAGCTGCTATACCAGGCCCGCCGAATTGCATCCTCTCTGGCCACACCCTTCCCAAGGGCTCCAGCTCATATAGGTGACCCGCTGCCCACCATCTCTTGGAGGTCACACCGGCACCTCAAACCTAACATGGCCCACGGCAAACCCTTGACTTCCCCCTAAGAAAGTCTGCTCACCCCCAAGCCTTCCCATCCCAGGAAACAGCAGCACTGTCCCCCTTACTCAGGCCAAATTCTAAGGAGTCTTCCTGATTCTTCTTGCTTCTCTTCCACATCCAGTCCACCAATAAAATACCAGACCATCCCAGATGTGCCCAGTTGTTAAGCTCCTCACTATTCGTAGCCTGGTCTGAGCCCCTTCATTTTATGGTTGGTTGAGCACAGTAATCTGAACTGGTCATCTTTTGCCCCCTCCAGTCTGTTATGGTCTATAAGTCATCCACAGGACTCAAACTATAAAATAGAGGGGCGCCTGGGTGGCTCAGTCTGTTAAGCATCTGCCTTCGGCTCAGGTTCGAGTCTCCTGTCGGGCTCCTTGCTCAGTGGGGAGCCTGCTTCTCTCTCTCCCTCTGCTGCTCCCCTTGCTTGTGCTTGCTCGCTCTCTCCGTCAAATGAATAAATAAAATCTTAAAAAAAAAACTAAAATAGAAAACCACCACCTTGCTTAAAGCCCTCAAATGGTTTCCCATTGCAACTACAATAAAAGCCGGACCCCAAGGCCTAACATCTGAGCTTTGAGACCCCTACCAGGGACTCCCCTTACCCCCACCAGCACGGTGTCCTTATTGCTGTTTGTTCTGCCTTCCTAAGTTGAGCCTCTGAGCATTTGCACCAGCTGTTCCCTTGGCCTG